CCTCCAAGAGCAGGTGGAAGTTCAGATACGGCTTTTCTCCCTGAGAGTGGTTTGCTTCTTAGTTATGATTAATTATTTCTGCAGTTACTTGTAGGATCAGGATTTCTACTAGAGGAGAGTAATTACTTTCACATGAACATCAGCTCCTCGTTCATTTAATTTGCCTCGCCCCTAAACACATGTGCACAAAATTAGCCTGGAAATTACTGAGGGTCCTACTTGTTCATATTCATCTGGTGACCATTTTAGCAGCTTTATCAACAACATCTGTAAGAGGCCCAAGGATTTAACTTGAGAATCATGGCAAAGTCAAGTGTCTCCCCTATTCCTCCTCAATTCTTCCCATCAGCCATCAGATGCTCACATTGAATCTCTAGGTTATGCTTACAAAAATCAAAGATGCCGAGTCTTAATTTGGAAAGACCATTGTCAACTTCTTTGTCATGAGAAATAGGACATAGTTTCTTTCTTTTTTGGTGCTACTATTGATGTATTGATTTTCCTGTGATAACTTTACACACACACACATACACACAAACACACACACAATTTTTTAATCTAAACACTCTCAGACCATAGTACTTGTCAATTACCAGAAGGTGGGAGTCTCTTTTTACTAAAATTAAGTAGTCATTTTTAGATATTATATTGAAGTCTATCAAAATCTTTTTAAAATATGTATGCAAAGTTGATAAATCTAGAATGCATATTGAAATGATTGTTTTCGTTTTCTAGGACGTAAATGCCTTGATCAAACTTAACGTTTTAAAAAATATTTTTAAAATATGAATTCAGATGTTTTCTTTAATTGAGAAATAATGTCCTACTTTTTGAATATATTCTAAAATCTAATTTCTTAAACTTTTATTTTAGGTTCGGGGGTACCGAAAAAGGGGTATGAAGGTTTGTTACATTGATAAACTTGTGTCATCAGGGTTGGTTGTACAGGTTATGTCATCACCCAGGTATTAAGCCCAGTGCCCAATAATTCTCTTTTCTGCTTCTCCTTCCTCTCACCTTCCACCCTCAAGTAGACCCCAATGTCTGTTGTTCCCTTCTTTTTGTTAATGAGTACAGGACCTAGTTTCTAACATGCTATTTCTATTATCATTTTAAATAAACCATAGAACGGGTGGTTGAGAGAAATTGTAAAACACACATAATTTAGTACTGAAATTATGACATGGTTCTGTGAACTACACGGGGACACACCCAGCCCTATCCCAAGAATGGAACTATGGTACCATTTCCTAAGAGCAGCCATTATTCCCCAGTGACTCCTAATTACCAAAACATCATTCATTCACTCATTTATTCAGTCATTTTACACTACTGTGGTCTTTGAAATACGTAAAAGTGAGACATGCATGATCTTAGCCCTCAAAAGTATACCATTTGATAGGAGAGATGACATATACATAAATTGTTATTATGCCAAGCAGAATAGACTCCTTCATGCCTAAACAGTATCCCATGGACATTTCTATCATAAAAGTTGATACTCACTGGTTCATGTGTAACCAGTGAGCTGGCAAGACTGTAAGCTGCTTAAAGACAAGAACCTTGCCTTATTTATCTCCATTTTGTCCATATCTAACACAGCATCTGCCTAGATCACATGAATAAATATGATATATTAAAAAGTATTAAGGATTTCCAGGAGGAGGACTGATTCCTTCTAACTGGAAAAATCAAAGAAGTTATCATGTGTTTTCTGTAGGAAAAAAAAAAAAAAAGTAGGAGAAAGAAGATCTCATGCAAGGGGAATTGCCCAGGCAAAACTATGGGGTGGCAAAGTATGTTTCAAGTCCTCCCAGTTGATTAGACCATAGGGTTTATCAAATATCAGCAATTTTCAACCATGGCTGCCTATAAGATTCACCTGGGGGGATTTTAAAATGAACCAATGCCTTGGCTCTGATGCAGGACAATTGAATCAGAATATTTTGGTGGGGCACAGGGATATAAGTAAGAACCTGAGTTCTGCTCTTTTAAAAAAGGAGCCTCTGCTCTGTTCAAAAAAAAAGTTTCCCATTTGTGTTTTTTTTTTTGACAGAGTTTTGGTCTGTCGCCCAGGCTGGAGTGCAGTGGCATGATCTTGGCTCACTGCAACCTCTGCCTCCCGAGTTCAAGCAATTCTCATGCCTCAGCCTCCCCAGTAGCTGGGACTACTTTCTTCAGATACACTGGGGTATCTGTCATTCGTATGAGGCCATATTGGGAACTACACTGGCAATGAATTTTAAAAGGTGATGGAGGTTAAGCTGAAAAGTTTGATCTTTCGGCAGGAAAAAGAAGCCAGGCTCATCTAGCAAGACAGATGGAGAGGGAGGAGAGCAGCTATAAGGAGATCATTTAGGAGGCTGTTGAATTTGTCTAAGTAATACATGAATTCAAGTGAATCACCGCGTTGGTTTGCCACCAGGTAAAATTCATGCACCTATCACATGTGAAGTAGAGAGGGTTGAACATTAGTGGAAAGGACTCTGGAGTTTGCTGCCTGGATGGAAAGGAAGACTTGGATGAAAAGCAGACAGTATTGGGGTGGGGTTGGCTCCAAGTATGTCCATATCTAGGAATTAAATTTGGGGCTGGAGGTGCAAATTGAAGAATCATTGTACCTAGAAGTTAAAGTTGACCAGATATGAGTCAATGAGAACTGCAAAAAAAAAAAAAAAAAGAAAAAAAAAGAAAAGTACCAAGGGAAGAAAGCAACTGAAGGGACAATCTTAGAGATTGCCTGTATTGAAGAGAAGAGGAGAGGATTTTCCAGCAAAAGAACTGGAGAAAGGCCAGCCAGATGGCTGAACACCTATGTAAATTCATAAAAGCAGACAATTAAGAAGGCAAGATTGCAAGAAAGAGGACATGATTCAGAGGTCAAATATTGGAGGGGGGACAAAGAAGCACTGATATTATTAGGGAGGTAAGACAGAAAAGAAAGGGACATTGGTTTCCCTAAGATAGGAAGGAAAGATGAAAGGATATATTTATTGCACACCATCACCTACTGTTTTTGACTATATTAGACACAGGGGATATAACAGTACAGACAAGGCATTTGCTCTCATGAGGCTTATATTCTAGAAGACAAGTTACAGAAAACGTGTGCACGAGCTCCACGTGCATTTCTACAGACAGCATCTTCCTGTTTATTGAGGAGTAGAGGAGGATAGAAATTGGAGAAGTGTGATCTTAGTAAAGGGGATGATGGTATGGTACTCTGGTGTTAGAGGAACAAGCTGAAGGATGTGGAACAAACTTGGCTAGCTTTTGAGTCACATGTAGGAGAGGCAACAAGAAATGAAGAAAGGATTCAGCCAGCAGGCAGGTCCCTGTGAGGTTTTCAAGCATGAACACTAAGTTCACATCTTTGCTTACACCTAACATGACTTTGCCCAGGCGGAACAGCCTCGAAGCACTGCTGCATATGGAAGAGGTGGGCTGCCCAGAGTTGAGATTGGCAAAGCCTCAGTGGTAAAGGTTACTGGGGTCCAGGTTTATAAATACCACATTAGAAACATAAACATTTGAAAACCACAGAATGTAAATGCTCAAGGTCACAGCACGCTCATCAGCTCGTGGAATCCATACAGTAATTGAGCACATTAAGAAGCCTACTGACTCCGCTGTCTAGTTTTAGAAGAGCTATAATTTAGTATCACTAGCTATCAATTAGTCCTGTTTTCCTCATCTGTAAAATGAGAGGGTTGGACAAAATGACCTCAAAGTCTTCTTCCAGCATGGTCAGTGGTGAATGCTAGAGCACACGTGAAATTCTGAAAGTTAATTTGCTTCTTTAACATTTACGTTGATTGTTTAACTATTGATGTTCAAAAATGCAGCTGCAGAGCTACTACAAATCTTTTAGGTCTGTGCACACAAAGCTGTGAGTTTTATGGACCATTCTGATTTTAAAATAAATTGTCCTGTGAAAATACGCAACCTGAATTCTGGTGGGAGAAATCTCAAGTGACATGGGTAATTGAATAGGGTAGTTGATAGGTCATTGAACAGGACATGGAAATAGACCAAGTAGAAAAGTATTAGACATGAATAGGTTTTAATATTTGCAAGTTTGGAAAATGACTTTGTGAACACTGGGAGAAAAGGAGCTTTTCAAATACTAGAATAGTAGCTAGGGATACAAAATAAAGTTATTCAGATATAACTTGTCTTCCTGCACTAAGATTAATTTAGAGTAATATACATAGGACCTCTTTCATTCCTTTCAAACATTGCCAGTAAGAGTTAACCAGGCCTTGGTTAGATCCTGAAAAATTAAGGTATGTGACCAACTAGACAATCTGTAAAAGTAACTAGAGTATTAGCTAGCTACTATTGTTTCGTATTGCAAAAATCTTGTCACTTTTCAAATACAATAAGACTTTTGAATAATACTATATATAATCTTGAAAGAAACAAACCTTAGTATGTGTGCTTTTTCTAACAGCTGCATTTGTTACACATATTGTCACCGAAATCAAGGTCTTTGAGGCTTAAAACTTAGTACTGACTCTGAAAGTTACTTATTTGTATATTTAATCTAAATGAATAGCTTATTGCTATTTTCAAAAGCATATTTGGTACATTACTATTGAAAGCAGTCTTTGACATAACTGACTACATTTTAGTTTTATACCCAAAGCCTCTGTTTATGCAGATAAATTGAGGTTCCAGTCTTTACAGTGTAGGGTGTAAGTATTAATGAGTTGATTTCCTGCCAAGGTTAATTTATTTTTATTTGCAATCTCATAGAGTAGGGCTCAATCACTGTTAAGCGCTGGTAGTTTCAGAAGCAGAAGCCTTCTTCAGATCAGTAAGATTTATACTACTTGAAATTAAAAAGAGTGGATAATGGGGAAAAATCATGCCTGAGGTTAAGGTGAATCACTTTGATTGGATCTTCCAGAAATCTCCTTTGAGTTCTGGGTGGCTTTTCCCCCTCTTCCTTTGCACTACCCTGATTGCTCAGCTAGAAGCACCCTAAGGGGCCTTACCTTGAGTCCAGGTGCTGGGGCCCAATCTCAGCGGAAGATCCCAGAGATCTGGGGAAGTGATGAAGAGGTCTGGGGAACTGACTCCGCAGGGGAAAGCCTGTGTGCAACCCAAACCTGCAGGATACGTGCTCCTGTGCTGGCCGAGCCAGTAGGCGGGAGCACACTCTCCACCCTAGCCTGCAGAAGCTGAGCATTCAGGCAGAGCCTCGGTCCCACCGCCCAGCTGCCCTCATCCGTGTCCAAGGACAGAGCCCTTGAGCCACGAGGGCTTCTGGCACATGGCTTCAGTTTTTATGGGTGAAAGACAGTCCTTTGGCATCATAAGGTATTTATATCTGAGATAGCTCCAGATTTTTAAAAAACTATTTGACAACAAAAACTGCCAAGCAGAATAAACTACCACAGAGGCCGAGAAAGCAGCACACGTGAGTTTTTTAATTCTTCAGAGGTGGTAGAAGTCACCAGAAATTCTCTTGAATTCTCTCTAAAGGGCTCTGGATCCTTGGAAAAATGATCTGGTCAAGCCTCATACTTTAGTAATTCTTAAAACGGTCACAGTCCCATGCTTTCTGTCTCAATGTGGCACTGGGTCACAGGTTTTGGCAGTTTGTTTTTAAAGCAGCCTCTTTTGGTGGAGAAATTATTGTAAACACATGGGAGCATGCTAGCAGCTCCCCATGACAGTGGATGGATCTCACCTGCCTTCGGTTTAGACAAGCACCATGTGAATTTTTATGGGCGTGTTCTTCCCTGTGCCATGTGTTCCTACAGTGACCTTCTGCACAGGATGGGTATGATCTGCTGGAACAATGATGACCACGTTTGGCAGCCCAGGCTTGGGGGATCGTGTGGCCTAAGCAGTGTAGCACACAGGCTCATTGCTTTCCATTGAGAAGAATACTCAAATACCACCCAGCTCAGTCTCCAGGAATTCCCCTTATAGGACAATAGCAATGAGAGAGCTCCAGGAAGGATCTATAAACACATTTCAGCTGCTTAGGAAAAGCAGGAATCGCATGCCTCTTTCAAACTGCGAGTGTTTAACCGATTTTCAGTTTCTTTCCACTCACTCCTCTGATCTCTGTTGCCAAACGATAAACCAGTTTAATTATGTTGCTTCCCTCTGAGTTCAGCTTCATCTTTTCCTCTTTAGTTTCCACCTGCGATAGGAGGAGGCCTGGTGAGGAGTTCTAGGCCACATTAGGAGAATGTGCTGCAAAACCTCAGGCAAGTGACCCAGCCCCTCCGGGCTTCAGTTTTCTCAATGACACTGGGAGATGGGGTCAGACTAGCTTCTCTGAAATCTCTTTAAGTTTTAGCTTTCTATGAAGGGAAATTTAAAGAAAAGCACAGAGAGACTGACTAGATTCTATTTGGGGCTTATTTAAGCAGCTACAACAACTTTACAAGAGCATCTTTTCTTGAAGATGCCCAACCTGGTTTTGTCCCAGAGAGGATTTGGAAAGGTCCACTTAGCAGAAACCCTGCTGGCCTGGGGCTCCCCAGTGTCCAGATGGACATGGCTCCACCAGATCAGAGTGGTGTTGCCACTCAGAAATGCCTTTGGCTGTTGCAGAAATCTGGCTGTATGCCTATCTGCTGCATATGAAATTCCTGATGATGCATGCAACGTATAGGGAATTAGAACAGTTACACACTCCCTTAAATATGAATATACCTGTGAACCTTTTCAGTCGTTATGATAAAGCAGAGAATAAGGAATCAAGTTTTGCCTTGGTCTTGCCATAAATACACTGCTCTGGTCAAATTTGCTGATTTTTTTAATGTTCTCTTAGTTTTGACAAAATGGGATGATCACAAGTTCATTTGACATGATTCCATGTTCAACTTCGTGTTGGGCAGTTTGGTGACAGGGACACAATATGCTATAGTGGGAAAGGTACAGGGTAGGAGCCAGACAGACTTGGGTTCAAATCTCAGATCTTCAAGTGATGACCTTATAGGAGGAGTCAAAGTCTGAAAGCCTACCCCCTGGGATCATCCTGAAGATGGAGTGAGATGCCTTCTGAAAGGCACCTGGGCTGGTAGCTTTGGACGAGTGACGCTGTCTCCCTGATCTTCAGTTTCCTCATTTGTAGAAAGAGAGATAATAAATTTCATGTTGCATTAGGCTAGATTACAAATGCAGACCTGCATGCACTCAGCTCAGGGTGCAAAAGGGAGCTGATTCTAGCTCAGCCAAGTCTAACGTGCTCTCAGCCCTCCAGGGGCTGGTAATCTGATGGGAGATATGGGAGGCACCAACACCAAATGAATGAGGACACAGCATCTGATTAGTCCTTAGCGGCACAGAGACATACTAGGTTTTGTTCAGCCTGGAGAAGATAACATTTAGAAAGTGTAGAAGAGGTAAGGCCCCATGGGGAAGGGAAAGCTGAGTCTTGACAGTCCTTGAAGGGCTTCAAACTTCATAATGAGATTCTAATAGAACAGGGAAAGAACGCTTTCCAGGAAATGGAACAGCACAGGCAATGGCAGTGAAGTGGGGAAGCATACAGGAACAACTGAACGGGGGGGCCTTGTTGGGGAGCAGTGGGAAGAAGTGTGGGTGAAGCAGAGTCAGGCCATAGGGTTCCTGGATGATACAAGTAGGGGCATCCCACGGAGAACCCCAGGGTGCAACAGTGGGGTTTTACAGTGGTAACTTTCAATAGATCCAGTTAAGCCTGCCAAAAATTACTAGCAGCTCCATCTCCCAGGGACAGTTTGTGCTCTCTTCATGCAAAACTTACTCTCTGTCCCCTCCTCTCTGGTTTCAGAGAGCATTGTGGTTTCTCTCCACACCAGCTTAAGCACTGTGTAGTCAATTTATAGTTTACAGGGATTTCCCACACACCCGTATATGTTTTCCACTGAGGTCTGTACTTTTTCCTAGACCCACCCGAATTCCAGAGCCAGGCCCACTTGCATGCCAAATTCATTTTCTTCTTCTTTATCACCTTCTCCTCCTTATAAAACATAGAAGATAGTTACTTTTTAAAATGTGTCTGTGTATTTTTAAACAGAAATGAAAGAAGAAACTCCAGAAGAAAACAATGACAAGGGTAATTTCTGATTCAATTTGTATTAACAATACTTGTTCATACAGGCAAACCCAGCAAGTGAGTTTTTTCACTGTTGACCACTGTTTTTTCACATTGCAACTCTTGCTTATGAAAGTATGAGTGGCTTATAGGGTATAATGCCTTTTATAAGTTTTTTTTTTTTTTTTTAAAAAAAAAGCTTGAAAGTTTTTAAAGGATAGACTCTGGCTCTGGAATTCAGGCTTTCTTTATAAAGTAAGTTTTGTTTTTAGAACAAAAAGAACGTATAAAAAGGGAATCAGGTCCTTAGGAAGGAAATTAGGAATCGTTCTGGTCATTTTGAGAATGCTCATTCCCTACTGATTCATGAGATAGAAGACGGAAGTGCTTTCCACAACACTTTCACAAAAAATTATACCATTTAACTTCCTTGTTGTCCTGTGGTAGGAATTACCCTGCCTTTTGCAAATGAGAAACTAAGAGGCTGAATCACGTGTGGAGGATCCCTCAGCCCACAGGTGGGGACTCCAGTCCAGCGCTTCTACCTCCAAGATGAACCTTTCCTTCACCAGCTGCCTTAGGGACAAGCCTTGAGCTCAGCCTTGTCCTGGGGAAGAAGGAGGGTGGAGAATCAGTGGGATTTAGTTTCCACCTGGGATAGGAGGAGGCCTGGTGAGGAGTTCCAAACCACATTAGGAGAACGAGCTCTTCTATGTGCTGCAAAACCTCAGGCAAGTGACCCAGCCCCTCCGAGCTTCAGTTTTCTCAATGACACTGGGAGATGGGGTCAGACCAGCTTCTCTGAAACCTCCGAAACCTGGCGTGGAGAGAGAAGTAACCCACCTGTCTATTTGCCATATGCCTCATAATGTGCTAAGAAAATGAAGCTCAGAACATTAGTGCACCTTTCCCAAAAGCACTGCGGCCAGGAGTCTGCACACCTGGAATTCACATCCGGGAAGGTCAGATTCCAAAGGCCAAAGTCTCTTTCCATGAGACCAGGCTGCCTCTCTCATTAGAATGACCTTCCATTTGTCACGTTTCTACCATTACCTGTCAGGGGCTTTTTCTCACTCTCCTCCCACCTTTTTTTTTTTTTTTTTGTCAGATTTTAAGTACTCTTATCAGATATTTGTTTTCTCCTATCCAAATGTTTCCAAACTGTGTGTTGTTACTCATTTGACTTTTGCTAAGAAAATTTAGGCTGTAGTGTTTTTTTTAAAAAATCCACCTACATAACTTTCAATACTAGTATAACGCAGCACTTCCTTTTTTGCTGAAGTTTGGCTGAATCACAGTACAGCACTGAAAAAACAGAAGATAGTCCCAGCCAAAGAAACTTTAAACTGCAGGTAGGTTCGAAGTCGGTGGCAACTGATTGTTCTGAAGAAAACTGGCATTGCTTCCTTGTTCTCCCGCTTTCGTTATTACTATTTTTGTCAGATCCTGTTTGTGTTCAAAAGGTTGCCGGTCTTATGAAAGGATAAACTTGAAAAATCTTGCTTTAATCATTGCAGCAATTAGCAAATAACTGCATTATCTTTCCTTTTTTATTATAAACATATTCAAGAACAGACTTGTAGTTTACTTGTAGTTACTCAGAGCTTCTCAGAAAACTGAAGCTGGTTGCTCGTAAAAACCAGGTATTCAACCTGTTCAGAAGGGGCCTGAGTTGCTGGAATCTTCCTTCATGTCTCCAGTAATTATGTGACTACAGGAACAGATGTAACCCCCTCTCCAAGCTAAGCATATACTTCTTAAGTCATGATGGATTTAACTGAGTGAATAACTCAGTTGACTTTGAGGAGGAAGATGAATGGGTTTGTCAAATTTAGCAAAAAACAGCATAAGAAACATTCACCATTAATAGGCTTGAAGGCAGCCAGCTTCCAGGACCCTGAGAACTCTGCTCTGCCAGCCAAATGATAATCTCTCAGTTCCTCTCACACTTTTCATCTGAACTGAGTTGGCAGGGTGATACCAAGCCTTCCTCTTTCACTGGTTCTTCCCCTCAACACCCTCCATTTCCCCTTCTCTGATATATGAATCAAGGGTGGTGCCATTAACTGTGTCTCCCTCAGAAAATTCCTCCTGTTGGTTGCTAGTGGGTCAGCAGATTCATTGGTCATCTATCTGCCTCTCTGAGAGTTCATTCTCCTGCAGTGTGGTGGGTTTTTGTTCTTCCCCATCCTTTGTAATTATGTTCCCCAAGGTCTTGTGCTCATCCTCTTTTATTATATCTTTCTATTCTCTCTTGGCATCCTCTGAGTTACCCTACTGCCCATTCAGAGTCCCATGATGTTAATCAATGCTTACCAACAGCATCTCCTCAGGGATCCAGTCTCTGTTTCCAACATCCCCTGGAATGAGAGCAGTCCAGAACTGACTCATCCAAAACTGAAGGCATATAATTCTCCCTAAATCCAGCTACATATCCTGATTTTTGTTTCCTAACAATGGTGTCCTCATTCTCACCTCTCCCTGTTTAAGCAACTTTACTCCTGTATCCAATCAGTGCAAGCCCCAGATTCCACCTGCTGAATCCCCCTTGCACAAGTGTCTCTCCTGCCCCTTCCCACAGCCACCACACTGGTCCAGGTTTTCATTCCTTTCACTGAGTCTCTCAAAATGCCCTCTGAATTAGTCACTTGGTCATCACTACCAGACTGTTTTTTCTGAAGTGCAGCTCAGGACTCAGAAAACCAAAATCTTCAGTGACTCCTCATTGCCTATGCTTAACTTTCATCTCCTGCAGCAGAGGCTTAAGGGTGTGGCTTCTAGAGATGGATGACCTAGCTTCAAAGGCCAGTTTCACCCCTCTCTGAAGCCTGTGGCCCCGGCATGTTCTTAACCTCTGCACCCTGCTTTCCTCATCTCTAAAGAGATTAGTAAGAAAGTCTGCCTGTATGAGGATTAAGAAATACTTAGAGCCATGGAAGACAGTGTGGCGATTCCTCAAGGATCTAGAACCAGAAATACCATTTGACCCAGCAATCCCATTACTGGGTATATACCCAAAGGATTATAAATCATTCTACTATAAAGACACATGCACGCATATTTATTGCAGCACTGTTCACAATAGCAATTACTTGGAACCAACCCTAATGCACATCAATGATAGACTGGATAAAGAAAATATGGCACATATACACCATGGAATACTATGCAGTCATAAAAAAGAATAAGTTTATGTCCTTTGCAGGGACATGAATGAAGCTGGAAACCATCATTCTCAGCAAACTAACACAAGAACAGAAAACCAAATACTGCATACTCTCATTCATTAGTGGGAGTTGAACAATGAGAACACATGGGCACAGAGAGGGGAACATCACACACTGGGGACTGTCAGGGGGGTCGGGGACTAGGGGAGGGATAGCATTAGGAGAAACATCTAATATAGATGATGGGTTGATGGGTGCGGCAAACCACCATGGCGCGTGTATACCTATGTAACAAACCTGCACATTCTGCACATGTATCCCAGAACTTAAAGTATAATAAACAAACAAACAAAAAGAAATACTTAGAGCCCTGCCTGGCCTTTCAGGAGTGCTCAACACTGTTGGCTGTTGGCTGCCAGCTTTGTCCTGACTGTGGCCCTCACTCTCCCATTCCTTCCTTGCAGTAAGCTCAGCCCCTGTGCACACTGCTGGCCTCCCACACCCTCCTGCTGGTGCACGTTAACTCCCATCACCCTCCTGCTCTGACGGCTTCTCCCCGTCCTGACCCTGGAAGTCCTCTTGTTCTGCAAGGCACGTCTCAAATGTCCCAGTGCCTCTTACAATCATCCCAAAGGGATCTGGTCTTTCCCTCTCTGACTTTCCCTGGAACTTTATCAGGGTCTCTCATGTCAATGTCATCACATTCTGCTGGGCACTGGAGACTTTCTTGTGCTTTGGGTGTTTTTCTTTACAGTTTCTCTACTTCCATGTCTTCCTATCCACACCTCTGTCCAGCAGCAGCCTGGAGGCTCCTTGAGATCAAGGACTAAGTCTTCTCCGCTTATATCTTCTAAATCGACATAAGACTGACCTCCCGGCCTCCTGCAGAGTAAGCCCTTGGCAAGAATGTGCTTGGTGAAGATCACTGAGGGTTAAAGCCTGACTATCCAAAATCTGAGTGAGAGTTGATTTAAAAACTCATTAAATATACATTTCTACCAACCACAGGGCTAGCAAGTCAGATCATTTCTTCAGATACTGAAAACTAAACAAAGTGCTGTGCAGAAAGTATCGTTTAGGGAACATTCCCAGGATATTGGACTAGACAGGTTAATATTCATAATTATAAAATTCATGTTTAAATGTACATATCCTCACGCAGCCCTAGACTCTGAATGTCATACACTGGCATAAGCTGCTCCCAGCTGCAACGAAATGCACTTGACCGTAATCACAGAAAAGTGGCCCTTACAAGTTTTAGTCCTATAATATTTCATCTTTAAAATGGGCAAATGTTAGAAAATTCTCTCAATTTAAAATTTAAAACACATTCAGAGCCAAATACTTTTATTGCCACAGGTATGCTAACACAAGCCAGATCTAGACATAGTGTTTGAAGGAGACTGAATTGATGCTAATTTTGTTGTTTTCTGCATTTGCTGCTCCATAGATCAAATTACCCCTTTGTAGTCTGCGATTGCAGTATATTCTTTCTTTTATTTTTTCTCCTTGTTTTCTTCCTCAGAATCAAACTTCCAGCCCACACTCCCACGCTGAACCCTGCTGGCTCTGTATTTACTTTTCTGTTTTATTTCAAGTTTCTTCATTTTCTTCTTTCCAAAATAACCTGCATGTTTTCTATTTTTCCTCTGTTGGGTTTACACAACTACTATATCTTAAGCACATGGTTCCCTGTTTCTTTTCACTCCTTAATAAGATGTCTCCCTCCTTAATAACCTCACTTACACAATTCTAGCAGCCAATCTGTCACTTTGTAATGTTCACCAAGGGAGAGAACACACCAGTTAGCCGTTTTCACACACACATATTTTCAAAAGACTTCAGATAAAAAGGTCTCTGCTGTGCATTTGCAGGACGAGGTAGATGTAAGTTCATGGTGAAAGTGAAGATGTAATTATAGCAAAAATTATGCCTTTCATGTCAGTGCATGTGGATTCAATACATATTGCTTGAGGAATACCTTGGGCCATGCCCTGAAAGCACAAAGAAATAATTACGTAAAATCTCCATTGTCAAAGAGTTTGTAGCCCTGTAGGGAAAAGGGACAAGTAAGCAGGCCGTTGTAAAGCGGGGCCAAGCAGGGCGAACCAGCTATCTCCAGGAATGGGGAAGGAATCCCACAGAGGGTTCCCAGCCCAGGCCTGATGGACCAGAGATGATTCCCTTAGGCTAGTGCCAGACCTGAGTCTAAGCCACTGAAGAAAGTTTACAATCTCAGCATAAACAAATTATACATAAAGGGGTGTAAAAGGTGAAATAAAATTTAAAAGATCCACAGAGGAAAATGGACATTGTCTTTCAAAAGAATTGTAAAATATAGTGCATGTAAAATGACATTCAGTGAGTGCCCAGTTGATTCCTAGGTTCAAGTAGGAAGCTAAGTTAAGTTCAAACGTAGTTAAGATCTCTATTTAATGTTGAGCTCAAAAGTAAGATTCTGCCACTGTGGATCTGTGTGCATTTAATTGTGATTTTTAAAAATAGATCGGATTTGTAAGTAAATGATTTAATCAAATGGCCTTTTTGAGATTTACTCTTTTTTTTCTTTTCTTTATTTCATGATGTGTGTGTATCTTTGTAAATTCACTTAAATTCTTTTAGGAATAAGGTGGATATGAAGAAATGAAGATAAAGAAAGTAAAAAAAAAATTCTTTGGGGCTGACTGTAAGCAGCCACTTCGCAAACCTGAAGGCTGGCCAGTCACATGCAGGGGTAGTCAGGCCCTGGTAGTACAACTTACACCTAAATGGAGCGTGGACATCACACATGTTCTTTCTTGGATCGCATGATGCCTTGCCACCCCACACCCATCACACTTGGCCAAAGCATCCCCAGCGGGGTTGTGTGAAACGTTAGTCAGAGCAGGGAATCATAGTTGTGGTCAGGGAGGAAGTGGTGGACAGTTCTGTGGTCCAAAATGGATGTACAACTCAGATTCAAAGTTAAAGAACGTCTTTGCTGCAGAACTTCTTGGGGTTTTTTCAATGTTTATGATTGCTTTGAAGGTTCAAGAGGGGCCTAAACTAGGAAGGGTTTTCTGAACGTATTTGAGTGCAGACCTTCTTATTTCTTGCAGCGATGGAGTTACCAGGACCCTCACAGGACTCCGCTCACCACAGAACTTCCCAGGATAGAAAGACAGTGCTTTGCTGTCAAATTCAACTGTGTTTCAGGACACTCCCTCCTGCCTTCTCACCAGCAGAATCACCCCTGTCCCCCGACTCCTGAGACAGGAAGTATAGGGTCAGCCTCTGAGAGTCCTCCCCCACTTCCCAGGCAGCTGTATCCTGGTGGCAATGGAGTGGAGACTTCACCTCCCCTTTCCCTCCTCAAAGCAGCTTTGGCCTGCCTGGGAGAAGCTACCTTCTCTGTTTCATAGGGCCCAGAACCATAACACTGAGTATTTCTTAATACCGGATTATCACAGCATTCCTGTTATAAGAAATCAAGCATGTAACATTAATCCCAAACTCTTTTTTAGGATGACGTTAAGATGTCAATTGGCCAAGGCACAGTGCCTCCATGCCTGTAATCCCAGCACTTGGGAAGGTTCAGGTGAGGTGTGATCACTTGAAGGTCCAGGAGTCAAGATCCTCCTGGCCAACATGGTGAAACTCCATCTCTACTGGGGAAAAATATAAAAAATTAGCAGGTGTGGTGGCAGGTCTGTAATTCCAGCCTATTGGGAAAACTAGACAGAGAATTGCCTGAAATTTGGGAGTGACGTTGCAGTGAGCCAAGCTCATGTCACTGCACTTCAGCTTGGGTGACAGACCAAGACTCCATTTCAAAAAAAAAAAAAAAATGTCAGATATCAGTGTCACTACAACATCACTTTTTAAAAACACTGTTTAGAGGACAATTGTTTTGTGTGCATGTAATTTTGTGGGTTTTTTTGACGGAGTCTTGCTCTGTTGCCCAGGCTAGAGTGCAGTAGTGTGATCTCAGCTCACTGCAACCTCCTCCTCCCAGGTTCAAGCTGTTCTCCTGCCTTAGCCTCCTGAGTAACTGGGACTACAGGCACCCGCCACCACGCCCGGCTAATTTTTTGGATTTTTAGTAGAGACGGGGTTTCACCATATTAGCCAGGATGGTCTCAATCTCCTGACCTCGTGATCCACCCGCCTCGACCTCCCAAAGTGCTGGGATTACAGGCATGAGCCACCGCGCCTGGCCTGCACTTAACCTTTAATATGGACTATAAGTCAAAATTATAGACTTGAAATATGTTACACAAGATGTTCAAAATACAGCACCATTGTATTCTGATGTTGTTGACATTGGGATAGCCTCTCTATACCTACACAGTCAGTTTTGTTATTAATGTCCTAGCTAAATACACACCCACACTGCCTTTGTCACTTGTATGTGTATGTCCATATGTAATACAGCTCACTGTCCATATATAAATTCTTTCCACGAACTTCTGACAATATAAAAAAGACAGGGCAGGGTTCCCATTTCTTAGTATTCAGAGTATGCTGGTTGCAGCAGCCAGGTGCTCCAGGGTTCATTACATTTTCTTTACCTCCTAGCAGACATGTGGGAATGGCATTGGTAGGAAGAGTACACATGATGCCAAATTTCGTGAACTTTCAAAGCAAAGGATAAACTTTTCAAATTTGTCCTTTAAAGGTTGGAATAGATATGAAGGATAACTTAGGAAATAAGAAAGCAAGATTCAGGGAGCTGACCTTGCATTTTTTGGCAAAGAGGTCTAAGATGAAGCAAGATATCAATCTGCAAATATTTGAAAATGTAAACATCACTGAGTGAGAACATTATTTGTCCTGGTAGGCATGGGTTTAGCCAGCATTTCTACCAAGAAATGACACAATTAACTGCTATCAAAAATTGGAAACAGCGTTAATAGAAACTAAGGAATAAAGAGGAAGGCTTCTCACCAGAGACACAGATATTCCACTGGGGCAAGCCCTCAAGTCTGCTCGAGAAGATGCTTATTATTCATGCATTCAATACCATTCTAGAGTCTAGTGGCACAACTAGCATAACGTTCTTTAAGTTTTAAGTTGGGGGCTCCTCAAGTGGAAAAAGTGCACAGTTAATTTCAGTACTCAGATACTCTACCACAGGAAATGCGGCTTTGATAGCATCTTACCCTTGGGCTGAGATATGACCTAAAGATTCAAGTACAAGGATCTACCTTTCATGGTAAGGTACCAATGAAGCGAGAAACATTCTAGACAGCATTGAGATCAGTTTTCCATATATCACTGATCACTAGATATGGATAAGCATGATTGGTATTTTTTGCTTGTCATTTTTCAGTTATTGAGAGGGCAGCCAGCAGCTAAAATTTACATAAATTAATTCAACCATTCATTCAAGAGACAAGTATCAGGCCTTTGCTATGTATGACACAGACTGAATTTATCAAGAAGTTAATGAAACTTCAGCTTCAGGGTTCCTCACTTGCTCAGGTCGTATCCAAATCCTTGTACCTAATAGTACAGTCCTAATTTTGCATTTGTTTCCTCTAAAGAAAGCCCCCAAATTGTGCAGTGTTAAGGGTCCGTAAAATCTTCACCAGCCTCCAGTACAGACACTAGAGAAAATGCACACGAGTTCCATAGCTATCCGCCTGACACCAGGGCAGCTCCGACTGAAGCAGGATGCGAGTGAAACCAAAATCCATGCATCCTAAGAATTGCACTCCCCGCTGCAGTGTTCCTTCTCTGCGTCACCCTCGTTTTTGTTTGATGGCCCAGGGGTGACTCTGAGGATCTGTGTTATCTGTAATCCCAGGGACGTGGACAGGCTCAGGATGTCTGAACTCTGAATGAGGGAATCAGCGGCCAACACAGCTGCTGTGACTTCTGGCCAGGCTACTACGAGAGGGCCTGCTTGGCTGGTTCAATGTGGATCCCTACACATTGACTGCTCTGAATTCGAGCTGTGGGGTGGTAGAGACGGAATCAAACAAAACCTGGGTTATTCTGTTGCTAATTCTTTCCAGTGTTCTCTCTGTAGGTCCTCAGTCCTAAGGTAGTACAGACATGCCCTTCCACTCAACTGCTCCCTACTGTAAACGATCGGGTGGCTGGCACATGCGTGTTTTGTATCAAAATGCAAACCTTTGTCCTTCTCCTGCATCTTCTGATGTGAGCATGATCATGTGACCCTGATTCATCTTTGTATAGTGGCTAAAATATCTGGAATTGTGTGCTTTAGAATTTTACTTCTAGAAGCACGAACTGTATTCTGGAATTAGGTCAAGTGTGAACTTCTGGATTCAAATTGGATGGTGGTGGCATTGGTTTATTGATCTCTTCTCTAGTTAAGGCACAATGCCCATCAAGACAAATGCAGATACACAAACTCCTCATGGACCTCTGACCTTTCCCTTGTGAGAACAGCACAGGTGTTTCTGACTGAAATTCTCCTTGGGAATGTGACAGAATTCACTATGTGTATTTCGGCTGCATTACGATGAGTGGAGATCCCCCTACTATCATCTGAATTAATCCAGAGATGTGTTCCAGAGGCTACACTTGTCAAGTTCAACTTTCTTGCTTGGCCTTTTTATCAGAAATATCTGTTCTCTCATTTTTCTTCTTTCATTTCAACAGAGTAATATTTAGCAAATAAAACTTCTTAAATGGAGAATCGAGGACATAGAGGGAGAGAAACTAAGTTATAACTTATAAATAAAGGTTCCAAGAAAGAATTTGCATTTCCTAAATGTTTATAAACCCTTATTTATAAATTATAACTTAGTTTCTCTCCCTCTCTGCCCTTAGTTCTCCTTTTAAAGGTGGGAGCAGGCTCCCTGTGTTCCTTTGGGGAAGATTTAGCACTTCTTAGATTGCTTGTCTCTGGAGCTGCTACTAGGTCACACTGCTCCTTCACCTGTCTGCAAAACTGGCACCAGGAAGTTACCTGAGCCAGGTGTGTTGGGTCAGACCTGTCTCCCTCGAGGGCACTGCATCTTTGAGGAGCACAGAGTAAGGCCCACCCTTGGTTCACTTTGTTCTAGATCCAGACCTGCCCGGCCTTATCCCACCATCAACTGCACCAAAAGTCCCACTCCTGAGGTGGCTTTTATGAGATAAAGGTAAAGGACAGAAAAGAGAGAAGATAGACAATAACCTCTGACTGACTTGCCTCTTGTATTTGTCCATGAATAAGCAACAAACTCATCTTTGCAGATATAAAAGTTAATATTAACTCATGTAATAGCTTTCTGACAATTTTCAGTGTGAGATTGAAAGAATTAAAGAATTAAAACAACACATTTAGAGATACACGATTTAATCTGGGGTGCAATGGTTGAATTGTTGCAGGGAAAAAAGTAACGATAACTGTATGACTTACATATTAAAGACTGAAGAAAATGATTAGGGAGGTGTATATGCCCTCAACACGCATTCCCAAGGACCAGTCATTTACAGCTTTGTCATGCTTACAGCTCAGTCTCTGGACTGTTAGGTTGGCTCTAAGACTCTGACGCATCCACCATGCAACTACATTTCATAAGCAACCCTGAACTCTGAGGTAAAGTATGCAAAAAAGTTCGTGGGTTGCTTCGAGTCTCTAAACAGATGAGAGGAGATTGGACAGGAAAGGATATTTCAAGGATTTGGCATGTACTGATTAAATCCGAATAACTTTGCCTCTCTATTCCATGTCTAAAGTCACATATTGGTGGGTTTTCTTGTGCCGAGTATGTCATTGTTATTCAGCTATATAATTGCGCACACCACACACACACACACACACACACACACACACACGCCCCAAGAAAGCACAGCCCTTTCGAGATTTCCTCGATGCAGAAGCAGAGTGAGGTTATGCTGAGCCTTGTGGGAAAGAGCCCGGAGACCTGCTTTTGTTGGCTTCTCAGGTTTGCTGGCATATGCAGCCTGGGGTCTTACTCTCTTTCCCCCCAAAACACTGACTGTCTGCACTGGTGAGAAGTGTGAGGAGAGGAAATTGGGGAAATAAGACTTTCTGTAAAATGACCACAACTGTTAGTGGGAGGAAGGAGTGGAAAGATGGAGAGGGGACGTTTTAGAAAAATGTGTTTTCCTTAAGCAACCAGAATCACAAAGTTCAACTAAGGCAATTTCTCTAAAATCCCCAGACTATTTATACGTTTATTTAATTCAGTGAAGAAAAGTCTGTTCCGTTATTTGATGAGCGTTTCTGACATGCTGCTACTGAAAATTTGGTTAAACTCTTCTACTTTTCAGTATTTTGGGAAGACTTGCCTTGTTACCTCTGGGTGGATGGTCATTTATTATATTAACAGTTAGAGAAGGAGAAAAACTGCTAAAAAGTAAAATCCTAGAAGGTATGGAAAGAAAGAACAGCGCCCGGGAAAGCTGTGTGTGAGGTAAGTGCTGACTTACTTAATTACTCGGCTGGAAGTGTCTCTGATACTGTATTTAGTTTTCACAAAATGATGGTATTTAAAAATGTATTATACCTTTATGGGACACTTTTCTTTTGATTTTTAGGACAATTTTAAATAGGACAGAATTTGTCACCTAAGGCTATTACTACTGATTGTTTCATATTTGTTTAAACATTCATGAGAGGACAAAATAAGATAGGATTGGGGATAACAGTTGATCATGCATGAGTGTGAGTGTGTGCATGTGATCCTGAGGTTGCAAAAAAAATGGATATTAAGAATCACTTGGATTTTTTTTTCAAAATCCCTCTTACAGGTTAAAGGGAAAAAGATTAAGATATGTTCAGATAAAAATAAATCTAAACATTTGAATTAATGGTACACATTTTTGGTCTTTAGTTTTCCACAGTTAAATACTACATTCGTTGTAAGTTTTCTAACCTGTGGGTTAAAGAAATTATGAGGTCAATAAACGTCTATTGAACAATAAATTCTTATTTCCTTCAAGCGACTAAATGCGGAAGTACAGAGGAGACAAACGTTGGCGTTACAGGAGCAATGTGGAAATTTCACCCAGTATAACATTTATTAGCTGAGGATAGTCTAAACTCTCACGAAATTACACACAGATTAAAAAACAGATTAATCATGGGTCGTGAACACAGTTCATAATGTTTCCAAAGTCAGGATTGTTTACATTCCATACACCTACCACAGAAAACTTACATAACTTTTCTTATAAGGATAGGTAACAGATTTTAAAATATTCCAGCGAGGTTTCGCCTTACGGCAATCCAAACTGATTTCCCCACTGACAAAGGAAAGTAACTGCTTCAGAATTAGCCAAAGAACTATGCAATCGCTGAAAATCAATAACAAACTTGCTCTGACAGACCCTTGCAAAGGGAAGTCGGAGTAATTCTCCTGCGAGCTAGACCCCCGTAGACCCACAGCAAACAAGACAACATCTGGATATTGTTTCACGAGCAAGAATAAAACACTTTTTTTGTCCCATCATTAAGTAAAATCCCATTTTCCACATGCAAACAGCACTTGTAAATTCCCCCAGATAAGCACGGGCGTCTTGAATGATTTAAATAAGTTTTAAAAGAATCAAATGTTTTCATTACCTTTAGAAGTAAAGTTTTTCAAAACTACCTCCAGCATGCCACATGCCCCAGAGTTGACATAAGCACCGTGTACCTCTTACCTGCAAAGACGGAAGAGTGCAGACTCCTGGCTGGATGGGGAGTTATGTCAAGTCACAGAAATGCTCAGTCCAGACAGGTTGCCTTGGGAAAGATAGGTGTTTAGGGTTCCTCAAAATGAAGAAAACTCTCTCACTGTTCACTGTCAGTCAAAAACAAGTTGGTACAAGTTTAAGTAAGAATTACCTGGAGGAACTAAAGAGAGAAAGAAAGAGATTGGGAGACATTGGGCAGAGGAGGGAGGGACAGGGAAGGAGGGAGGGAGGGAGGAAAGGAGAGAAAGTGAGAGACAGAGAGAGAGAGAGTGTGGGGGAGAAAGAGAGAGAGAAGGAATCTGAGAAAGGAGACCATGATGTCAGCATGTCTTAAGGTCTTCAGGAAATCTGCAGACCAGCACAGGATTCTAGTGGGCATCCAGTCCAGGCTCTCCAAACACCTGTGCGAAAGAAAACTGATGCCTTTTTAAAGAATGCCAGTTAATCTTTGAAGAAACTTGGGCCATTCTTATCAAAGCTTTTTTAAGGTCCCTTTGGCTAAGTAAACTATAAATAAATAACCAGATTACCTTTTCTAACAATCTCTCCTTTATCCCATGTTTTCTTTTTCTCTTTCCTCTCTCCTCCCCAAATGAATATTAACAAAACCTCTTGCCCTCCTGGGGGAATCAGAACGAACCCATATAGACTATACCTATATTAAACATACTTAAGCAAAGTGCCACAGAGGGAAACTCATGTTTTTAGCTCAACCCCCTTATTGAGCTGATTTTTCTTCCATCACCCCTATTTTCCCTGATAAATATATTATATATATATATGTGTGTGTGTGTGTGTGTGTATATATATATATATATGAAGAAGTTGAATAGACACAGGCAAAATTGGGTTCTTCTGGATCATGGAAATTGGGCTTGGGGATATGTGTTGGAATCTGGGTTCCAGCATTCTTGCATAGTCTGGCATCTTTATGAGAAATGGTCAGAATTCCATCCTTGAAGCAGGCTTCTAATGGAAGGTCTCCGGAAGCAGAAGCAGGAAGCTTCTTTCTGGAATGGGGTTATATGTCCATCCTACGCAAAGTGACTCTTGCAGCCACCACATCAAGGGAGGCCAGTCCAAGGCTCATGTGCTCTCCTGGCCTTCTCACGGCCAGAGTGCATGGGGACAGTGTTCAATCCTAAGAGATGGAATGGATTTTTCACAAGTACTTCCCCTAGAGAGAGCCCTCTACACTGGTCCAAAGGCAATGTCAAGAGACACAAAGGGTTTCTTTCCCATGGGAGACAATGATACACCCACACGTCCCCTGCCCAGGCACCTCGGTGGGGCCAGGCCACTGCATCTGGTTTGACATAGAGCAGACAGGGTGAGGAATGCCTTGCTTCTGTTGGAAATGAATGATACTTCCTCTCACCAGAGTACTGGGCTCCGCAATTCACCCCAAGTGCAGCTGCTGCTGCTCTGGGTGCTTGAACTAAATGGGAGCTGGAAGGGATGGGGTGTCATTCTGCCTTCAGGAAGGAAGGGCTGAGACCTCCTCATTTTCGCCCCCTAATCATTCCATTTCTGTTTTCCCAGTGGAGATGGTATGCCTCAGTCTCCTTCTCTTTTGCCCTTTCCCTGGAAGCAAGAGACTCCTTTTCAGCCTGGGAGCTTAAATGGTGGCCCTGGAAAGCAGACACTGGGCTCCCAGGGGTTTAGGGCAGGAGGATGAAGAAGCCACACAAGATTTGGACTTCTTAAAGCTGGTGCAGCTTTACTCCAGCAGTCTAGAATCAGATAGTTCTCCCGCGAGGATATGCTAAAAGTCTCATAAGCACAGAGATGAAGAACGATGAAAGAGGGAAAACTGAGAAGTAAAGGATCTGAGTATATACCAGCTGCTCAGGTGGGATGATTTGCAGGGGCTGTTTCCTCGGCCTGGAATGGTCCCCTCTGGCCTTCATTCACCGAGCTGACTCATTGTTCAGGTCCTAGCCCGAATGGCACCTCCTGTGGGAAGTCCTTACCTGATCTGGTCCCGATCCAACTCCGTGCCCCAAGACTCCCTTTTGTTGTGTATCTCACTTACCACTGCCTGAAGCGGCCCTAAAGCTTTTCCGTTTACTGTCTGTGTTCCAGTCTAGAGCTCAATGGTACCTGTCTCTTTCACCAAACATCTTTCCAGCAATATCTGGCACATCATAGTCCCTCAAAAAATATGCATATTTGTCAAGTGGGTTGATAAAAGATTACATATGGAAGATATGATTTGTTACCATGGAACTTTAGCTATCTCCTTATATTTAATCTGTATTTCCAGCCTCAGCTTTACTTAATAAACTAACATTTGAACACCTTTTTTCAATTTGTAAAACACTGCCAGAAATGTTGTTAATTCCATGCTCAGACCAAAATGTAGGCTTGATTAGTTGTATTTTAAGGGCAAGGAGATGGAAGCCAAAGAATGTAAGTGATTTGTGCAAAGTCACACAGCTACAGAGCTGTTTTGAGCTCTTTTCACTTTCAGTCCATGCATTTTTCATCATCGTACATTTTTCTTAAATTCTTATATTTTGAGCATACATATGCATGCGTAGCTTCTTCTCAGCATTGAGTTACACATTGCATGGATTATAACCATAGTTTAATACTCCTGGAAGTTTTAGTTCTTGCAGGACCATAAGCAGTAGAGCAGATACTCATAACAATCTTAAAGATGATGGAAGGAGAAAATGAGTCCAGAGTAGTATAAATACATTTTAAAGTTTAAATGCTAAGACAATGTTCTTGATTTTGGTGATGTTTACCTGTTTTTGTTACTTTTCATTTGGTGATATGTCAACAATTAGATTTTGAGTCTGCAGATCTGACAGTTTACCAAAGGAGATGAGACATTATAAATGTATGACTGCAGGGTTGAGCAGTGAGCGGGGAAATTCTAAAATGTGCGTCTATGTGACTTCTGTCATAAAGGCCGGGCTTTGTTTAGCATGCTTTAACAACTGAATGATCTAAGTATTTCTGGAAATTTCTGAAGCTGACTAAGGGAAATATGACAAACTGTTAATCCTGACAAAATAATATTTTCTACCATCCAATCTCTCTCTCATCCAATGAGTAAAATCTGTTTCACAATCTGGTTCTAACGAGTAGAGCGGGAAATCGACTGTATAAGATTACATGAAATAACATAGCTAATCATTTCACAATTGAACATGGTTAATTTTACTGACCTTTTAGCCGAAAATAAAAACAAATATAAATGACTGTTCAGCAAATTGTGTTTCTTTCTTTCTGCTCCCCCACCCCCATCTCCACAGTTAACTGAAAGAAATACTCTTACATGTGTCAAATTTGCATAGAAAATACATAGAAGTCTGAATCTTTCTACAAAGATCTGAAAAGACATCTGAATACCGGGCAGAAGAGTTCATAAGAACCAACTTTTTCAAGAGAACTGTTTCCCAAGAATAATTTCCAAAAAAGAAAAAAAAAATTGCTATAATGTTTCCAATCCTCATCTTGGCTTGAATCAAGACATAAAAAACCTTAAAGTGTGATGAGAGGGAAAAAAATATTTTTACCTTGGAATAAATTCTATTTAAGTTGGGTTAGATATGGAGCTATTTATGGAAGCTTACAATAGTTCTTAAAACTTCATCAGACTCTCTCGTGAATCTAGCAGCTTAAAGAGCCCTCCACAGGTGCAGCATGATATGGCCAGCTGTCTCCAGTTTGTTCTCACCATCCTTATCCTGGAGGTGTTGAAAATGATCCCTTGAAATATAGG